GACAGGTGATTTTGTCCCCACTCCCTGGATAATGGAAATCCTTCCGGTGTTCGTCTCAGGTGTAATGTCCATTGAACTTTTCAAAAGGAGTGATTGTGACGCTCCGGTGTCTCTTAGGACGGTGATATTCTTCTGAGACAACGGATCACCTGGTTTGCTAATGATGGCTTCGGCAATAAAAGATGAAAAGTCAACTTTTCTCGATCTCTCGAGATCGGTAGACTCGGAAGAAACTGGATGGTGGCGAGAACAGTCAAAATGTGACTGCACATAATGTGTGGAGACTTGACTACCTTCTTGCGGACACTTAGGGTTAGAGTCCTTTTGAATTCTAGAGTTCATAGTTGAACTGGCTGCTTGAGGGGATAGAGCATAGTGCGCGGAAGTACGCACCACCTCTCTGTTATTCTGAAGACGTTTGTAACAGTCCTTGACAAGATGCCCAGACCTTTTGCAGAACTGGCATACTGCTCGACGATTGAGAGTTGATCTTGGTTTCTCTCTGGACTGTGATGCCTTCAAATGTTGGCCAACAGGATGATTGCTGCCAAAAAGGGGAAGCACGGGGTTGAGGCGGTTTCCTGACACTGGTGGTTTCTTATGCACCAACATATATGTGTCAGCCGACTCAGCAGCCTTCTGGATGTCAGTTATCTTGTTATCCAGTATGTGTAGTCGTATCTCTTCAGGCAGGGACGATAGGAATTCTTCCCTTAAGATAAGAGACCTGAGTTTCTCAAACTCAGAAACTTCCTCAGAGTGTAGCCACCTTGAGAATATTTTCTCCTTTTCAAAGAGAAATTCCACATATGATTGTGTGGGTAACTTGCGGAGTGTTCGGAATTTTGTCCGATAGGCCTCGGGCGTCTGTGCGTAGGCCTTCAAAATGGCAGTCTTGACCAAACTATAGTTATTTTGAACGTCGTGAGAGAGTGCCTGGTATGTTTTTGCAGCTTTCCCAGTAAGGACAGAGCTTAATAGAGCAGTAATGGAAGTTTCGGGCCATTCACATGTCTTCGCTAAACTCTCAAACGAGTTAAAGAAAACGACCAAATCTGTTTCATCAAATTTAGGAACTAATTTCCCAAATTTGGCAATCACTTGCCCTACCGACAACTTTTTTGGATCTACCAGAGAAGTAACATCACTAACTTGACCAAACTCTAATTCCAACCTCCTCTTATCTAAAGCAATTTTAGCCTCTATCTCCTGTTTCTCTAAAGCAACTTTCTCCTTCTCTAAAGCAATTCTAGCTTCTAATTCTACCTTCTCTAGAGTTTTCTCCTCGCGGAGTAACACATCCGCCAACAAACTTTCATCAAATACTCCTTCATTAATGAAATGAACAACAATTTTATCTCTCAACACCTCTGACTTCTGCGTAACAGAATAATCCAATTTCAATTCCTTAACTACACTAACCAAAACTTTTCTACTCAACTTCTCGACCTCTTCAAAAGTAGGATTAGCCAAAAAAGACTCCATAACACTAACTTGAAAATCACAACAAGCCTAGATTCTTTAAATTAATACACAGCGTTGGGCCGTGTACTTGACCTCTAAATGTAGGACGTGACACGTCTGCTTATTTGACCTAGATACTCTAGCCTGAGCGCGCGTTGTAAGAACACTGCGCTACTGGATATAAAAACAACTAAATCCAACTAACCTTAGTATTCAACTGATATAACCAACAACTGGAACGACAGATTAAATCCCGGACGAGCCCCCACTTTGTAACGTTTTCCTATCTATCAGCCAAATAGAAGGAGAACGTCCCCGGATTCTTTTTTCGGGGTCATATGCAAATGCCTTACGGCCTAAGTGGATGAACACTTAACACAACGACCCACTAGGGCTCGAATTTAATGTCTAGGGAAGCTAGTGGTACTATTGTAATTAACACTCATCCAATCTACATACGACCTTTTAATCAGCGAACACAGTTGTGGCAGAACACAAAGATGAACTAGATAAAATATTTAATGTATAAAATATCAAAAACCCAACTTACAAAATGCAGGAAAAAACTCTATCACAGATTTCTACACTGTCTAAAGAACAGCTACAGGCCACACAACACTGCTGTAGCTTCAAGACTTACTTAGCGACAAGTAATATTAAACTAGAAGACTAAATCAACTGAAGAAAGCAAGGCACACACAGGTCTTAAGTACTCTCACGTTCAAATGGTCAGAGTCTATAGCCGGACAATATGGACGGCTGCCTGATCAAGGTAAAACTGCCTCGTAGACTGCCAGGTCAAGATAAACTGCCTCGTGTTGCGAGTGTGCAGTGCAATTAAAGACTTCTGTGACAGGGGAGGTTATCCTCAACTCATGTCGCCATTGGTTGGGATAATCATCTGATCAGAATCATTCAATCAGATTTTAATGGAAAATTTCTATGTCTCAAACACCTTAATAAGTCAGTGGAAAAACCCCAGGTGTTACACCATCATTCCATATAAGGAATTATACAATGTCAAAATAAAAATGACTCGACCTAAGTAGGTCACAAGCCCTAGACTGAACCTCTACACATAAGATATGGAGCCTTAGACTGAACCTCTACACATAACACAGGGAGCCCTAGACAGAACCTCTACACATAAGACATGGGGCTCTAGACTGAACCTCTACACATAAGATATGGAGCCCTAGACTGAACCTCTACACATAAGACATGGAGCCCTAGACTTAACCTCTACACATAAGATATGGAGCCCTAGACTGAACCTCTACACATAAGACAGGGAGCCCTAGACTGAACCTCTACACATAAGACAGGGGGCCTTAGACTGAACCTCTACACATAGTCATAAGAAAGGGAGCCCTAGACTGAACCTCTACACATAAGACAGGGGGCTCTAGACTGAACCTCTACACATAAGAAAGGGAGCCCTAGACTGAACCTCTACACATAAGACAGGGAGCCCTAGACTGAACCTCTACACATAAGATATGGAGCCCTAGACTGAACCTCTACACATAATATATGGAGCCCTAGACTGAACCTCTACACATAAGACAGGGAGCCCTAGACTGAACCTCTACACATAAGACAGGGAGCCCTAGACTGAACCTCTACACATAAGACACTGAGCCCTAGACTAAACCTCTACACACAAGAGCCGTAAAACAAACCACACAAACTTCGGCCACAACTACATACAAGGTACACCTCGAAGGTAGACATACATACATACACGTATCGTACACAGATATGTAGGTAGAACATACAGTCCACGATCGGATTAGAGATAGTTGTCATAGTTATTTACCTGACCGTAATACACCCGCTAGTGGTCATTGTTGATTATTATTTATCTTACAGCCGTCATGTAGAATTAGATGTGTACCCATTTTTTTCTATACATGTTGTTTATACTGCCATCACATCGTAGTGCGAGTATTGAGGCCCACTTTTGTAATAGTACCAGTCTCAAGAAAACTACACATTCTACGAACCAGCCTAGTGGGTCAGTTCTCTTATAATCTAGAAGTTTCTAGAAAACTACATACAGGCTGTGTGGGTCAGATCTCTCATAATCTAGAAGATTCTAGAAAACTACAGACAGACTGTGTGGGTCAGTTCTCTTATAATCTAGAAGCTTCTAGAAAACTACATACAGTCAGTGTGGGTCAGTTCTCTTAAAATCCAGAAATTTCTAGAAAACTACCTACAGACTGTGTGGGTCAGTTTTCTTATAATCCAGAAATTTCTAGAAAACTACATAAAGTCTGTGTGGGTCAGTTCTCTTATAATCTAGAAGTTTCTAGAAAACTACATACAGGCTGTGTGGGTCAGATCTCTCATAATCTAGAAGTTTCTAGAAAACTACATACAGGCTGTGTGGGTCAGTTCTCTTATAATCTAGAAGCTTCCAGAAGCTGTAACCTACAGACTGTTGAGGCAGCACGCGAGCGAGCAGGCGACAAGGTTATGACTTGAGACGGCATCAAAAAGATGTAAAATGTAATTTCTGGCTCCACTGTCTGGTAGTCACAGCAACCACCCACGGGCGGGCGGACAGGCAGGAAACCACCCACGGGCGGACAGACAGGCAGGAAGACACCCACAGGCTTACTGGATATTAGCTACTAAATATTAAATTGCGACATTTCGTTATGGAGTGGAACAGACATTGTGGCTATAACCAGGGAACATAGAGGGAACAACAACTAGGGAACAACAACTAGGGAACAACAACTAGGGAACAACAACTAGGGAACATAGAGGGAACAATAGCTAGGGAACAACAACTAGGGAACAACAACTAGGGAACAGCAACTAGGGAACAACAACTAGGGAACATAGAGGGAACAATAGCTAGGGAACAACAACTAGGGAACAACAACTAGGGAACAACAACTAGGGAACAACAACTAGGGAACAACAACTAGGGAACAAAAACTAGGGAACAACAACTAGGGAACAACAACTAGCTACCCAACTCCCAATTTTTTATTGTTACCGTGTTATTGTTAGGTGTGACGCGGCTATATTAATTGACACCACTGATTATCTCTAAAATAACCACGAAAAATAAAAATACTACTAAGTGACTGGCTGAAAGAATGTGCGAGACCCCCCCCCCCCCCCCCCCCCCACTTTACATCCGATAGAAGAACACAGAGATTTATGAAGACAAGTGAGCTCATTTGTCAGCACTTTGTTTATTTGTCAATTTGGAGAGTGGGATATTATTGGTTTAGAGTCAGGCAGAAGTCAGTTGAGGCTGGTCTTATAATGGGTAGGTGTGTGTGGGGGTAGGGGGGGGGTTAAGGTCAGTAGAGGCTGGTCTTATAATTTAATGGGTAGGTGGGGGGGGGGGGGGGTCAGGTAATGCATCCTGTGTTAGATGCAGCATTTCGCCAGGCCATTGACGCTCATAATTTACTGTTATGCAACAAGACAGAAACTGACCAACGACCATCTAGATTTACTGTAGTGTTACAAAACTAGAACAGTCCAATCAACAAAACAGGGTCCCTTACCTTTCCTTGTGCCCCATCTTTTTGTACAGGGTCGGCAGGAACAAATCGTTCTTCAGCATGTCCTCAAGGACATACAACCTGGGGATACACCAAGGTCAAGGTTAAATAGGTCGGCAGGAACAAATCGTTCTGCAACATGTCCTCAAGGACGTACAACCTGGGGATACAAGGTCAAGGTTAAATAGGTCAGGTTAGCAGTCTATACACCGTATGTTAGCCGTATATATACCGTATGTTAGCCGTCTATAGCTCGTATGTTGGCCGTCTATAGCTCGTATGTTGGCCGTCTATAGCTCGTATGTTAGCCGTCTATACACCGTATGTTGGCCGTCTATAGCTCGTATGTTGGCCGTCTATACACCGTATGTTAGCTGTCTATAGCTCGTATGTTGGCCGTCTATACACCGTATGTTGGCCGTCTATCCATCAAATGCTGCCTGTACTGGCGTGGACATAGAGCTCTGGACAGATCAATGTTTGGACCGAGCCTTACATAGGCCGGCAAGACGGTGCACTCTCGCGGCCAATTTATTGCTTTTAATAACAGGGGGTAATGTACTAGAGGGGTGCTGGAATAAGGGGGGGGGGGGTAATGTACAGAGCTGGAATAGGGGGTAATGTACTAGCGGGTAATGTACTAGGAGGGGAGGGTAATGTACTAGGGGGTAATGTACTAGGGGGTAATGTACTAGAGGGGTGCTGGAATATGGGGTAATGTACTAGCGGGTAATTGCTAGGGGGGGGGGGGGGTAATGTACTAGGGGGTAATGTACTAGGGGGTAATGTACTAGGGGGTAATGTACTAGGGGTAATGTACTAGCGGGTAATGTACTAGGGAGGTACTGCAATAGGATGGTCACTACATATTAGAGGATGGTCATTAGATTAGAGGCTATTGAAATAGGGTGGTCACTAGAGTAAAGGCTATTGAAATAGGGTGGTCACTAGAGTAAAGGCTATTGAAATAGGGTGGTCACTAGAGTAAAGGCTATTGAAATAGGGTGGTCACTAGAGTAAAGGCTATTGAAATAGGGTGGTCACTAGAGTAAAGGCTATTGAAATAGGGTGGTCACTAGAGTAAAGGCTATTGAAATAGGTTGGTCACTAGAGTAAAGGCTATTGAAATAGGGTGGTCACTAGATCAGAGGCTATTGAAATAGGGTGGTCACTTATTAAATGCTACTGAAATAATCACTACATTTTGGAGGCTAATGAAATATGATGGTTACTACGTATTGGGGGCTACTGAAGTATCAACAAACGTGAGTTTGAGCCCTTAATAACCCTAAACAGCCATGCCTTGACCCTACCTCCCCATCCCCAGCTCAGTCAGGCGACATTATAATCCTATCCAGATTACGTCAGGTCAGGTTCACAAGCCGACGTCTAATCGCCATCAGCTGTTATTGGGATACCCCTCTAACTAGCAGACGCTAATCTTAATCCTGGATCTGCGACATTCTGACCTAGTTTTGCGGGGTGAGACTGGCATTAAATCCAGTCTGTATTTCAGACATTTTTCTCTGGGAGGGGTAGGGGCAGATATTGTTTAAACTATATATTTAGGTATATACATTATATTTTGCTGGGGGGGGGGGGTGGATGGACGTACTTTCGGGGGGTGGTAGCGGTGCCATGTACAGGTCAACCGATTTTTTTACAGATACCAAATGTCAAGGCTTTTAGGAAAGGTCAAGGATGTTGACGAAAGTTCAAGGTTTACGAGAGCGACCCTGGCATGGCTGAGATACCTTCCTGCTTTTAGCGCAGAAACGTCAAGGTGTTGACAGCGAACTTGTAAAAGGTAAACACTAAGGCACACAGAGCTACGTCAAAACGAAACATTTTCCAGTCAGATACAGAACACACTTTACATATACACAGCCCAGAACTTAACACTAGTGTGAGAGAACTGGCACATGCCTACATTGTTGGGAAGTGATGTTCATTAAACCACTGAGATTAGAATGGACAGTACAAGGCTCAACATATAGTTCCAGTTACTGATACGGGGTTAAAGTTAATACCTGTAGTGGTTGAGGGTTTGGGTTAGATGTTCGAGAGTAAGAGATAGAAAATATAGTGACTCGGTCAGGATTAAAACGGGAAGTAAGGATTATGATTATAACTGAAAGGACAGAGGGTTTATATAGGACTTTAGAATTACAACTAGAACTAAAACGTTAAAATTACAACTGCAATGACCGTGTGTTTCAATGAAAGAATCCAATACGCTGAACAGCACCGAATGATAAGCGACAAAACAACTGCTAGTGTAAGACGCCTTGCTGTTAATTAAGACATTTTGCCAACAGAGGCGTCCCGTTGCTAATTATGACGTCGCGATGCTAATTGCTCTCATGCTCACCCAAACCTGTATCTAAAGGTCAAGGTTCATCGGTTCTTTTCCCAGTGCTATCTATCTTACATGGGTCACTGTTGCAGCATAGCTCAGTAGTCTTCTCTTCAATGGCTGTTAGCCTTCTGTCTTGCGATGTTTTTATTTATAACCTGTCTGTCTCAATGTCTTCCCTTCAATGGCTGTTAGCCTTCTGTCTTGCGATGTTTTTATTTATAACCTGTCTGTCTCAATGTCTTCCCTTCAATGGCTGTTAGCCTTCTGTCTTGCGATGTTTTTATTTATAACCTGTCTGTCTCAATGTCTTCCCTTCAATAACTGTTAGCCTTCTGTCTTGCGATGTTTTTATTAATAACCTGTCTGTCTCAATGTCTTTCCTTCAATAACTGTTAGCCTTCTGTCTTGCGATGTTTTTATTTATAACCTGTCTGTCTCAATGTCTTCCCTTCAATAACTGTTAGCCTTCTGTCTAGCGATGTTTTATTTATAACCTGTCTGTCTCAATGTCTTCCCTTCAATGGCTGTTAGCCTTCTGTCTTGCCATGTTTTTATTTATAACCTCGGCTGTTTCTCTCGATACAGCCCTGTCAAGTGCTGCTGAAGTCACAGAAACAGCTCAACTCTACACTATCTGCCCTAAAGATCGTCTTGTCCAAAAGAGTAACGTAATTTAAACCTTACATAAGTGTAGCAGATGATGTAGAGTTCGTCTGTTTCTTTGACAAACATTGAGGTCAGGCGCCTTTACTCTCCGCGACTTAAATCGTGAAATCTTTTCCAGATAACCCCCCCCCCCCCATACAAAAAAAAAGATGATTAAAAAAGAGGATATGAAAGTTGTACTTTTATTGAACAAGGTGAAATTGTAAATAATTTGCATGAAAGGTTTTGATTTCGGAACCTGAAACCTTAGCCCTCAAGGAGCTGGCAAAATGTAGCGTGCGCTCGGTTCGGCACTTGTGCACTGCAGTAGTGGCGGGGCTTAACTGGAAAGGACCCAGGTCGGTACTCGCGGGTTCTACGGCTCCACCAAGCCATGCTCATCAACACATGTGTCTTAAGCTACAAACCAATGTCGATACTAATATATGTACAGTACAAGTAAGAATTTGAAATATCGATACTTCACAACTTCAATTAACGATACTTCAACTTTCACCAGCGATATTTCCACTAACGATATCTGTGTGATTGCGTGGTGGAAATGTGTGAGTGTGTGGGTTGTTCTGAAATTTGAACCTCAGCTTTAAAAACAAAAACTCAATAGGTGCTTGAGATTGACCTTCAGTTGCATTTAGCTCCAGTGGGTCAAAGGTTACAACAAACCTACTCCGCCGTGGAACATTGTCACATGGCGCTTTGTCGACAATAATTAGTCTCGGTCTTAATTGGGTCAAGGCCATGTGTTTGTTTTGTTTTCAGCCACAACCTACGAGACAAACAACCAGGTGGCCAGGAGCCCCACATACGATGACAGTGTGGACAAGAGGAAGACGAATGTGCAGTTATTTTTTGATACACGCGAACCTTGTAGGAAAAATAGGCGGGATTATCTAACCTGGGTTTATTGATGTTTGCAGGACGTGTTGACGTTTGTTTGCCGGGATCAATAAAGCCAGTCTCAATCTTTTAACTAACTTTATGGGAGACTCTTTCATTAGGCAGACACTCTTTCCAATTTAAAATGTTTCATTAGGCCGACACTCTTTCAAATTAAAAATGAAATAATCTACCAGGCTATAACACTCACACACCAGCAAACAAAATGACCTACCATACACACATACACCAAACAAAATGACCTACTTCCACACTCACATACAAAAACAAAATGACCTACCCCCACACCACCAACAAAATGACATACTCCCACACTTACACCAACAAAATGACATACTCCCACACTTACACAAACAAAATGACATACCCCCACACCAAACAAAATGACATACTCCCACACTTACACAAACAAAATGACATACCCCCACACCAAACAAAATGACATACTCCCACACTTACACCAACAAAATGACATACTCCCACACTTACACAAACAAAATGACATACCCCCACACCAAACAAAATGACATACTCCCACACTTACACCAACAAAATGACCTACCCCACACCAAACAAAATGACATACTCCCACACTTACACCAACAAAATGACATACTCCCACACTTACACCAACAAAATGACATACTCCCACACTTACACCAACAAAATGACCTACCCCACACCAAACAAAATGACCTACCCCCACACCACCAACAAAATGACATACTCCCACACTTACACCAACAAAATGACCTACCCCACACCACCAACAAAATGACATACTCCCACACTTACACCAACAAAATGACCTACCCCACATCAAACAAAATACCTACCCCCACACCACCAACAAAATGACATACTCCCACACTTACACCAACAAAATGACATACCCCCACACCACCAACAAAATGACATACCCCCACACCACCAACAAAATGACATACCCCCACACCACCAACAAAATGACATACCCCCACACCACCAACAAAATGACATACCCCCACACCACCAACAAAATGACATACTCCCACACTTACACCAACAAAATGACCTACTCCCACACTTACACCAAACAAAATGACATACTCCCACACTTACACCAAACAAAATGACCTACTCCCACACTTACACCAAACAAAATGACATACTCCCACACTTACACCAACAAAATGACCTACTCCCACACTTACACCAAACAAAATGACCTACTCCCACACTTACACCAAACAAAATGACATACTCCCACACTTACACCAACAAAATGACATACTCCCACACTTACACAAACAAAATGACCTACTCCCACACACACCAAACAAAATGACCTACCCCACATCAAACAAAATGACCTACTCCCACACACACCAAACAAAATGACCTACCCCCACACTCACAACACCAAGAAAATGACCTACCCCCACTCCACATCCTTCTGTGCTGTGGCCTCTATACACGTCAGGACAATGTCCTGGGCTGAGGTGCTGGTCAGCAGGCACTGGTCACTTCTGGCAACAGTTTTCAGACAGGTGTGCACCACCATGCAGGTGTAGTCGCACACCTTGCTGTCAGCGTGGTGCAGGAAAAGTCTGGACATTAGAAGATTCAAGGCTTTTAGACAACCCTAGACCAACATTAGAAGATTCAAGGCTTTTAGACAACACAGGCAGACCCTAGACCAACATTAGAAGATTCAAGGCTTTTAGACAACACAGGCAGACCCTAGACCAACATTAGAACATTCAAGGCTTTTAGACAACACAAGCAGACCCTAGACCAACATTAGAAGATTCAAGGCTTTTAGACAACACAGGCAGACCCTAGACCAACATTAGAAGATTCAAGGCTTTTAGACAACACAGGCAGACCCTAGACCAACATTAGAAGATTCAAGGCTTTTAGACAACACGGGCAGACCCTAGACCAACATTAGAACATTCAAGGCTTTTAGACAACACGGGCAGACCCTAGACCAACATTAGAACATTCAAGGCTTTTAGACAACACAGGCAGACCCTAGACCAACATTAGAAGATTCAAGGCTTTTAGACAACACTGGCAGACCCTAGACCAACATTAGAAGATTCAAAGCTTTTAGACAGGCAGAACCTAGACCAACATTAGAAGATTCAAGGCTTTACTTTAGAAAACACAGGCAGACCCTAGACCAACATTAGAAGATTCAAGGCTTTTAGACAACACAGGCAGACCCTAGACCAACATTAAAATAAAAATAAATATTATAGGAAAAGCCAGGACATTAAAACAATCAATGTTTTTAGAAAACACATTTGGACAGCTAGCCCAAGATTAAAATGGGAAAAAAAAATCATTGAAATTTGAGGAGGGGGATGGAGGGGGTGAGTGGAGAAGGAAATAACCAAAACAATTTTCAGATTTTAAGTTTGATATGAAAATACAACACACTCATAGCACTGTGTTTTATAACCTGCTACACTTTCACTTCTAGAGCTCACTTAATAACCATTATTCAGGTCAACTGATAAAACATAACATTCACCTGCTATACGTATGGACAAAACAGGTACAGACATGTTCACATATCACACCATCACATAGTGCTGACGGCTGACAATACATACATCCTTCCATACTGTACTGAAGGCATTCACTGTGGGGAATTAGCCAGGGTGGGAATGGGAGGCACCCACTCAAACTTAGAGCTAACATACTTGGCCCTATAGTTATGTGTTGAAGGCGGCAGTTTGTAAACTTATCATCCTAGAATCATCCTAAGGTATTCAGAATAGCAACATCTAACATCACTAAATACACAGAATAGCAACAACACTATAAAAACATCATGAATACAGTACAGTATAGTAACATCCTGGCATCATTTTTTTTTAAACGGTCAATTTGAAAAAAGGCCTCTGTACCTACAGTTGCGTTATTGAATAGATTGAGATTATATTTTACTGAGATGAAGTAACATATAATGATAACCTCCTTACCTAAACTGATTTAAGAATAAATCCCATATCACTTTTTGGTTCTGTGTATTGGAGACGCAGGCGTTCCCCAGAAACTGTGTGGCACACTTGATGACATTTTCACTGTCTTTCTGAGCATCTATGGTGAGAATCTTCTCTGTGATTGTCTTTACATTCTCTAAAAGGTCCAAACATGAGGAAATACAGTTTTGCACCTCGGTGTTCAATGCACAGGCCTGACGCAGACAGCGAAATCCTTCAGCAGCACAGGCTTGAACCTGCTTTGATTGGTTGTCATCATTGTGGCCAATCTTCTCACACAAGCACTTCAAGGTTTCATTCAGAAATTGCAAAAAAGTTCCAGGCACAACAGTCCTGAGGTGAAAAAAATATAAAACTGTCAACTCATGGATCATAAAAATGTGGTGCTTTTATTATGTTAGTGGAAACTAAAAACTGTAATCATTTTAGGTTTTAAAAGTTTGAGCACTACTCTAAGCTCCCACTTTACTAAGTTTTAGATTTAGTGTTGGAATTTTAGATGGGCAGAGACCATGTTTAGGGTTAATGTAAGACTATTAGAGAGGATACAATTGGTTCATATGCTACCTAATGTAGTGAACTACTACTTGAAAGTGAAAAAAAGAAACATTTTGGGTTGAATAATTTTTTATTATTTTTATCTTTTATATATATTTTAGTAATTATTAGTACTGTATGAAACAGTTCTCAGGGGTAAGAGTTTAATTGATGATAATGTGACTAAGAACTGGTGTTAGAGCTAAGACTATGTTAAGGATTAATTAAATGCTGCTGAATCAGGAGTTTCTGCTACAGGCTAATATTATCTGTGTAGTTTCTGTTGTTTTTTTACGATTAAATAATTAAGCTTAAATTTTAGTAAAGTCTATTCCATCTATCACCACATTCAGAGTGTATCTACAGTTTCACATGAATGAACATTCCAATGATAGTTGCCACTGCTACATTCCAATTTTATCACCACATTCAATCTGTATCTACTACTAATAGTATATTTAAAAAGTAAGGCATGAAAATTATAAGGCATGTAAATTATAGAATCATAAACAAATTGCTAGTTATACAAACAATAATAACAAACTGAACTCTCAAATATGTGATAGTTTTTATCTATAATATAAATATGTTCAACTTTCCTCCTATTAGTGATGAAGAAAGAATCACAAATGTGTGTGTGGTCAATAAATTATTTAGGTAAGCTTTTAATGTACCACTTTCAATGGTCAAATATATCTACACCACAACTGTGCTTTATTCATCTCGTGTGAAACTAAAATGTATGCTTCCTATCATATCCCTTCCACACAAGCAACTGTCTCCTTTGTTTTGTCTATTATTCTACTCTTGTCATGTCATACTTACACTTTTCTTATTCTATCACAGCAAACAAAACCAACAGCAAATACTCTCTAACCAATTTATGCTGTCATATGTCATTACTATCTATCTAGTTAACATAATCAAGTGTCTCTGTACTTCAGTCAGTCCACATGTACCATCAACCCAACATACTACATAAACAAAGCTATGCCATAACAGCAACAAAAAGTTCAAGTATTTCTCTGCCTACCTACACCATCAGACACTACAATTACAACTTACTGAACTAGTCTAAACTATATAGACCACCTCAACTATTTTAATTTAATTTAATTAGGCCTAAGATACATAAATGACGTCACACTTTTTTGATGATTTTTACCTTCCTCCCTCCCCTCTATCACACTTCGTCACAAACAGTCAGACCCCCCCCCCCCTAAAATGACGTCACACCTCAGCCTACAACCCCCCCCCCCCCCCCCCCCCCCTCAAAATTGCTGTTGAATTTTTCTTAAAACATCGATATTTTTCCAAAATCTTGTCAGAACTCTGTCAACATAGAGTATTTTGATCAATTCCTATTACAATTTATTAAAACCGTTTTCTTAAACGCGAAATAATGGCTAAAACTCATTTTCTAACATAGCTTTTTTATAATACACAAAAGTGACGTCACACCATATGAACCCCCCCTCATCACACACCGTCACAAAATTATGGACCCCCTCCCCCCTACGAGTGTGACGTCATTTATGGACGACCCCATATTCGTCATCCCTATACTAGTATAATCCTATATATGACTAGGGGCCTTTATCCCATATCAATGTTCGACTATCATCAATCATAATTTATAGTTTATAGTCTTATAGATCTAGATTCTAGGTAGAAATATGATATTGATATTTAATTAATATTAATATTAGGATAAAATCAATATTAAAATTTAATTTAGAATAATAATAATCATATTCTATAGATCTAGGTCTGTACTCATTACTTACAGTTATACTTATACTATAGGAGTGAATGTTTAGTGACAGATTGTAGATATAGCTACTACTATCTAGATCTAGTTATCTAGCTAACTACTGACTAGCTACTAGATCTAGATTCTAGCTAGGCTAGAGAGGCTCTTCTAAAATCTCTTCAACCCTCTTCTACTCTTCTACACTTCTGGATCTAATCTAGATTTCTAGATTCTAGATCATAAATTTTTTTTTAAATATTTCAAAAGTCCTGAAAAAGCCCTAAAATAATACTATTAATACTAAAATAATTTTAAAAATATAATATAGACTAGATCTAGATTTCTTCTAGATCTAGGCCAGGCCTAGGATACTATTTCAATTTGAGTATTGCGGCCTAGGCCTAAAAATATTTTTTTTTTAAATCCCTAAAAAAATGAAATAGGTAAAATCACGATATAGCGTCGGAAATTATTGGGTAATGTTCGTTGAGTTTCGGTAACATTCGTTACTGTAAACCATAGTTTATTTGACCGTTGGAAAAAAAATAAAGTCAAGTGCATTAAATTAATGTTTTAACTTAATTTAATGTTTAACTGACAAAATTAGCAACAATTAGTAAATCTAAATATTATTAATAAAGTCGAGTGTAGTAATTAATGTTTTTTTAAGAAAAACAGAAAAAACCTGCAGAAGATTTGCGACAACCAGCTCTAGTTCTATTAGTAAAATAAGACGATTAGATTTACTAAAGTTAAAAGTAGTAAGAAGAACTAGAATAATGTTTAGTAGCAGCAATAATTAGCACATACACTTAAAATAATTAGAAATACAAAATAATTAGCAAAACAGTATTTAAAATGCAACTAAAATCAATCCTTGCACATTTTTAAACATAATGTATTAAAAATAATATGGCGGCAAATAAATGATGGTTTACAGTATTTCCGGTGGTTTCCGGAACGGCTCGACACCGAACGCCATGGTTTTATTGTTTTTTACTGCTGTACAGTTCCGGAATAATAACCGACGCTATATCGTGATTTTACCATGAAATAACTCACTTCAGTCCGTTATCGTTTGCTAATATATTTTGTAAACAGCTTTTAGTTTGATCCCAATCATTATTCAAGCAATGCTGAACACACGTCTCCGCTTGAGTAAGTAATTCATCCATTGTTGTTATTTTGTAATTCCAACTCTTCTGGCTTGTCAGACGTATTTATGATTTGAAACAAGATTTCGTTCTGACTTCCCTTGGTGGTTTGTTTACAAATTTATGATCCGAATAGGAATCAAGTGAGAATGCTCCATTCTCGAATTCCTAGCCGAGTGCTCAGAGTGTCACAGAAGCACAGCAATCGGTGTCCTAAAACTATTGAAATTGACATTTTCACATACAGAATAATATTTATTTATTTGGTATTTGTTATTTATTTTTCCCCTTCAGATTTAGATAAAATATTGTTAATAACTGCTTGCAGTAATAGTAGTATCTACATTAATGGGAAATATGCTTGTATAATGCGCAACCTGAATTGATATTTCGAACAAGGGAATTAACTTTTAAAAAGTATTTCTATTACATAGTTTTCAATGTTATTTCCCTTAAATTAACAATGTTTCAAAGTACCGAGTCGGTATATTAAATTCCGAAGACTCGGCTGATGATAACAAAAAACTGTCGTTTAATCAAATGCGAATTAGGGTTTAAAAATTTAAAATATTCTCCTGATTGATCATCAATACCCCTATTTTTAGTTATAGAGCCTATTATACTAAATATGTTTAAAATGAATGTGATGGTGGTCAAGTGAAATATAGCATAAATATAACGACGTTATTCTATTTATTTTATCAAAAAAAAAAGTAAGGTTGATTTCTAAACCAAGGTTGACGACGTTGCGTGCCACTTCATAGATTAGAGGTAAGAAAGTTCTATATTGTTCAATAGCGACTTGTCTCAGCCACTTCGCATCCTCCCCTATTTAAATCAGAATTGGATTTTTTTTCGGAGGGTGGGAATGAGCTCACAATACAACAATTAAAACTAAATAAATGTGATCAATTTAAAAGACACCGGACTGTGTCGATCTAATAGGAATTTTACCAACTGTCTTTAGCTTTGATAGCTACGATGTATTTAAATAAAACCAACCGTCTTTAGTTAGCCACGGTGTAGGCTATTTAAACATAACCAACCGTGTCAAGTTTTGATCCACATCTCGTTAGAAGATTGAGAGGGAAGATGAAGCCTGATGGAGGGATGGGTCTGCCTCCCTCAGCTGGAGGCTAAGTTTGTCATGTTACGCATGAGTGACGCTACGTACCTGTCACAACCGTCCTCCTCCCCTCCTAACTTCCTCCCTCTCGTCCCTCCGACCCCCACCCTGATGTTCATTGTTTTAACCTAAAAGGTCTCGTGATAGATCGCACAAAAATTCGCCCAAGGACATAAAACATCACCAATGTGGGGGGGGGGGGGGGGGGGGGGGGGGGGGGGGGGGGGGGATAGAGAACATCACCAATATGTGAGGGCGGCCGTACAGCCTAGTGAAACGGGTTACATTTAGTGTCGTCATAGGCGGATCTAGTCCCCCCCCCCCCCCCCCCCACAAATAACAGTAAGAAAAGGATTTAGAGAAAATGGACCTATCGACAAAAACTAGTCCTTTGCATAGTTGTAGTTGCACGATGTTTCTCTTCTGTTTCTTAAGGTGTGCAAGTAGGTCACGGGGACACGTGGACGATTAGCTGCGCCAACACACACACATATACACACGCATATACACACACGGTCACACATTTGTATCTTAAATGTGAAATAGTAGATCTGATAATGCGCATGTTAGAAATTAAAATAGAGCTGCCATTCTGTCGTGTGAGGTAAGGAGGGGGTTGGGGATGGTGAGCTAGTCTCGGGGGGGGGGGGGGAGGATTTATCTACAAAATAAAAGTTGTTTAATTGTCCTTGCAACCGTAGGCCCTATCACTTAGATGTAATTGCGTGCTTAAAATAAACTAAACATCAGACAGGAACCCCTTGTTGGAATTATTTTTAATGGGACACTGAGCGACAGTTTAGATAACGGCCTACTAATGGATCTAGTGGCGCCCCTGATTCGGGTACGATATCGCAGCTACACATTGTAGTCCCGAGGCTATGTTTTGATTCTAAACAAATCGGTGGGCGCTTCTTTTTCTCGCCCCGTCCTCTAGATCAGTGGCGTAGGCAGGCAGGGGTGGTTGGGGGGTGGGGGGTGTAAAACCCCACCACCCCCCCCCCTCCCCCCAATGGACCCCACTGTAAGAAAAAATTTACAGTCATAATACCACTGTTACTTATTTAAATCTATATCTGAATCATTATATATGTATAATTATATATATATATATATATATATATATATATATATATATATATATTATATATATATATATATATATATATATATATATATATATATAATTGTATCTAACAGTCATCTATAACTGACGCTATGTTCACTCTGAGTTAGTTATCCCCCCCCCATCTCACCACCTAAAGCCGGACAGGCTATTGTGTAGAGCGACATTACTGTCACACCTAGGTACACGCTGGGTTGGATAATTGACCTAAAGTGACCAGACAGTGGTGAATGAAGTTGAACCCACCCCCACCCCCTCCCACCCCCCAACCCACCCCGAACTGATCTGTTAAGTACAAGTAGAAAAAACGCATAATGATCTAACCCATACCTTATCATTATGTTAAAAATGATCTTAAAAGAGCACAAAACAGTAATTAATTTAACAATGAATGATCTATATATATAATTCTCTTCTGGGAGCCGTTAGAAAACAAGCTGCAAGAGCGCCTTTGCAGTCCCCTCTCTTCCTCTCTATCACTTTCACTACCACCCCCCACCCCACCCCCACATGATCTGGTGAGCTGTGGTTCACTCTAAATGTTTACAAATCGTAGAGCCGGGTTTGTGGACGGCTATTAGGGGCAGATAATTAGTTTGAAACGATTTTAAACTTACAGGAGGTAACTAAGGGGAGGCTGCTTTCACGGGGGAGGGGGGGGGGGGGGGGTGGGGGAAGGGGGGGGGGGGGCGGGTTTAGTGTTTTAAAGCAAATATTTTCAGTGGCAGCATTGGTACTGTCGAATTCACAAATTATGAATTACTGAAAAGTAGAAAATAAAACAACTAAATAGCGGCGTATGATGCGCCGCGGGTCTGCTCGTATAAAATACAAGACTAACATATATATATATATATATATATATATATATATATATATATATATATATATTTTTTTTTTTTTTTTTAAGAATATAGTCCTGGTTCCTGTAATTGTGCAATACCAGCTTGATAATCTTGATTTTATATCAACTCTGATTTTAACAACTTTTACAACGCTGTAACATTTTAGCATTTATGATGACAATATATTTAATTCTGATTGTAGACAATATTTTTTGTAAAAACGAATAGTGTTGAACTATTTTATTATATACAAAAGTAATTACTGATCTGTTTTGACATTTACAATTAAATTTGTAGAAATATACATATTTATATTAAGAGGACTGTCACACCTAGGTATACGCTGGGTTGGATAATTGACCTAAAGTGACCAGACAGTGGTGAATGAAGTTGAACCCACCCCACCCCCTCCCACCCCCCAACCCACCCCGAACTGATCTGTTAAGTACAAGTAGAAAAACGCATAATGATCTAACCCATACCTTATCATTATGTTAAAAATGATCTTAAAAGAGCACAAAACAGTAATTAATTTAACAATGAATGATCTATATATATAATTCTCTTCTGGGAGCCGTTAGAAAACAAGCTGCAAGAGCGCCTTTGCAGTCCCCTCTCTTCCTCTCTATCACTTTCACTACCACCCCCACCCCACCCCCACATGATCTGGTGAGCTGTGGTTCACTCTAAATGTTTACAAATCGTAGAGCCGGGTTTGTGGACGGCTATTAGGGGCAGATAATTTAGTTTGAAACGATTTTAAACTTACAGGAGGTAACTAAGGGGAGGCTGCTTTCACGGGGGAGGGGGGGGGGGCGGGTTTAGTGTTTTAAAGCAAATATTTTCAGTGGCAGCATTGGTACTGTCGAATTCACAAATTATGAATTACTGAAAAGTAGAAAATAAAACAACTAAATAGCGGCGTATGGTGCGCCGCGGGTCTGCTCGTATAAAATACAAGACTAACATATATATATATATATTTTTTTTTTTTTTTTTTTTTTTTTTTTTTTTTTTTTTTTTTAAGAATATAGTCCTGGTTCCTGTAATTGTGCAATACCAGCTTGATAATCTTGATTTTATATCAACTCTGATTTTAACAACTTTTACAACGCTGTAACATTTTAGCATTTATGATGACAATATATTTAATTCTGATTGTAGACAATATTTTTTGTAAAAACGAATAGTGTTGAACTATTTTATTATATACAAAAGTAATTACTGATCTGTTTTGACATTTACAATTAAATTTGTAGAAATATACATATTTATGTTAAGAGACTGATTATTTCCCCTAACTCGCTTGTCTTAATTAATATTCTAGCAATCATTATGTAAATTTTTTTTTACAAAGATTACAATACAGATTGTGTTGCGTTCATTGCTTTTGGTTGTATTGTGTGTATATTTTGTTTGATTTTATGTTTAGAGTGATACGTTGTTTTGCTTTATCGAGCTACATTGTGAGTTGTTTTTTATTTCTTCAGAGTGCAACTTTCAATTTATTTTACATCATAGCGAAGCAATGAACAAACAGCTAGTATATATATATATATATATATATATATATATATATATATATATATATATATATATATATATATATATATATATATATATATATAATGCTGGAAAAAATTTGCCCCCCCCCCCCCACCATGAGACGATCCTGGCTACGCCACTGCTCTATGTACATGTATTTATAGGGAAACAGACCATTTGCTACACCCACCACACGTAGTTAACAATTTGTGATTTTATTCTGTTCCTAAACGGCGTTTGAAACACAAAAAGTTCATAGCGCAAAGTCTAACGATTGTAGTATTGTAACAGCTTCCATACTTTATACATGTTTAACAACTTCCATAACGAATGGCAAACGGCAAATGTCAAACTCTCTAGTTAATGTTTCTCAACACCAATGTAAATGACACAGTGACATGTAA